CTGAAAATATCAAGGCTGGAGGCTGGTAACTCAACAGGGGGATTCAGAACAGGGCCCTTGGGGAAAATTAACTATGCACAGATGTGCCCCAGCAACCTTTTTTCATCTGATATGACAATCGGTGCAACCTGCCAAAAGAGACAGTCCTGAGCAACACACCTGGACCTCCAAGAGCAAGAAGGGGAACAGACAGAAAATCCCAGGTTAACTTTCTGAGGCTTCGTATGCAAACATGCCAAGAGAAGGTCTGTAGCATTGCTGTGGCATGCAGGCCAAGCAACAGGAGAAAATAATGGAGCGAAATGAGGGAAAAGTCACTGCTCATCAGGCGAGATCCAGAACGCGGGAACAGTCTCCATACAAGGAAAGAGGAGAATAAACACATCTCACTACTGCACTTCTATCCAGGCTGGCGCCACCTTCAGTCTTCTTCTCCACACTCCCAGTGGTGAGGGGGAAGCTGGGGATGAACACCATGAGGTCACTACACTGATATAAGCATAATGACTAACATGAGTTGAAAGGTAATAAGTAAACGAAGAATTACATGTCAACCCAGACATATAACTGTAGAATGTATTTCTCTTCGTATTTTGAAGACAAAATTCCAGGAAATCCTTTTTGCTCATTCTAAACAAAACGAGGCATTTGACTGGGTTGAGTGGCCGGTCTTAGCTCAATGTATAAAAATATTCAGATTTACTCTTAAGTTTCTGTGATATATATTTTCTGCTTTCTAAATAACACAATCTATAAAAGGGAAGAGAAATGGCAGAGAAACAATATACCCAGGATCCTCTTTGACTCCTTCTGGAGAAATATACAGCTGTCTCAGAAGATACCTGGACTCTGGAGTTAAATTTAGCTTCAATTCAATTACATCTTTGGAAACAAGTATCAATGATCTATTCTTTAAATGACCAGGAAAACAAAAATGTGAACACTGCAGCATTATATATTGAATCCTATCAAAATATGACATTCTATTTACAATCTTCATATATTCAGATTAAATACCTCAACAAAAAAATGACAGATAACAGTGTAGGACCATAAATAAATAAATTCTGCTTTACTATTTAAATCTTCCAAAATTCAGCAATAACCAGGAATAAAATAGATGTGTTAGATGACATGGTGCAGACAACTGCAATATTTTCTAATACTGACACCTATTCTTATACAAATCAATAATTCTTTCTTCCAGAAACAGTACTACCTAAAATGTGTGGACAGAGTAGACAGGTTAAACCCTGGGGAGAGTCGTTATTGCACAGCTGAACCTGCGATAACTCTGTCATTGCTTAGCTATCCACCGGTAACCAAAGCTAGACTACAATAAATGCCTCCTACTTAAATCAGGGTGAGAAGGAGGGATGGAAGAGAACTCTGGATCACCTGACACATGATACCTCTTCCCCTTTTCAAATGGTGTAACTATACCTCTGTCTACATGCAGTCTTGATTTTTATCTATCTTTATATGTCACAAAAGTAATGGGAAAATAATGTTTCCCATTTCCTTCTGAAGAAGAAACATACAATCACATACTTTGAAAAGATGATACTACTCAGCCCTTTCACATAATGGCTGCAGAGACATTCTAAAAGCTGAAGACAAGAGGTTAATTTCAAAAGGATAATGAAATAATATTCAGCAATTATTCAGAAGCCGATAAAAAAATAGCAGTTTTAGAATACTATTTTAGAAAGTGAAGGAGAAAGAATGTCTCTGCTTTTAAATTTAGCAACTGTTTCAAGCAGTTGTAGTCACTGTGAATGAAAGGCTGATCCTAGTATTCTTTTCAGATTTTTTTGAAAGAAAAAAATCCTTTTTAATTTGGAAGAATTTAGAGTTTACCAAAAAGCTAGTACTATTCTTCCATCACAGTCTGAATGGCCAATGCTAAGTATCAAACCCTAATACTTCCTTAAACATAGTCAGTTTGGATTTAATTTTTATCTTGGGTTAGGTCAATTTTAATAATTAACTTTTATAAAAGGAATAGAACAAAAGTACACCTTTCTCACATCCCAATTTCTTACGATTTCAGCACCCAAATTTTAAAAGTTTTAAAATCACTCTCAATTATTTTAAATAGAATCCTTGATTTATGTCACATTTAAAATTAATATGGGCATGAACTGTTTTCTCGCATGAGATGCCATTTCCTGTGCAATTCCATTAGCTCTAGGAATAAAGAAGAAACCTGAGGATCGTTATAATGATGTCTTATACTGACAAGTGGAGAGAGCCAGTATTGCAATTGCACCAGCAGAGTACTCCTGGTATCTCAAAACTACTCTGCTCCTTTAAATACAGTGTCATGATATTTGAAACTCTTTCTGCTATACATGCTTCGGGGAAACATATAGCTATACAATAATAAGTCCAACCTTTTCCTGGAAACTAACCACCAGTTGCTCATTTACCCTCTGGCTACATCCTCAACTATCAGCTCAAAACAAAAGCAATTGGCTAACTTTAGTTCCTTCAAAGGTATTTCTCTGCTGCACCTGGCTGTCATACAAACCAGTTTTTTTCAATAAAGTGTCATCCTGTGTCACCTTTCTAAGTGTTTAGGGAAGTAGAACATTATTCTGAAGCTTACACTATCCAATGGAAGATAACTTTAGAACTATTTCACTTTGGTAATTATTACTCCTTCCTCACAGATGCAAGCATAACTTATCATGCTCTACAACTCAAACTGTTATTCACTAGCCATGGTACGTATGTATTCCCTAGCAACTGCAACTACAAGCAGCTGACAAAGCATCTCAGCCATAGCATACCTAAAACATAAGAATAACCACTGAAAGCAGGATTTCAATTAACAATATTTCGGTTCAAATTTCCATGAGAAAATTCAGTTAAATAAAGGGCTTCAATAACCCAGGGGAAGAAATACATTTTCATGAAAAGAGTTCCACAGGAACAAATACTGAAATGAGTAAGGCTGCTCAGGGAGGAAATAAGGGAAAGGAGACAGGATGAAGGCACGTGCATAATTCACACAGAAGGCAGAGAAGTCTTCAGAATTGCCATTTCCTCTCATATGGGAGAGAAGCGACATTCATTAAAATCGAGGAAGAAAAATTGAGGCTTAAACCACACACAAGCTACCTCTGCAACTCACTACTACCGGATGTGAAGGAGGAATAGACTTTCTGAGAAACAGAAAAAAAGGATGAGACGTATATCTGATTATTTCCCTTAGAACCACTACACTAGATAAAATAAAATACAAGTAAGTAGTACAGAACCTAGTAGTTCAGAATCAGAATATGTGGCGGCTAATTATAAGGCGTCAACACTGAATTTTTCGTGGTAAAAACTGAATTCAAGTAATCTATTACATCAATGCAAGTAACTTTCTTCGAAGTATATATTATGGGTCCTCATCAGAGAAAATGAACCCACAAGAATAATTACTCTGCTCTGCTCTGCTCTGCTCTGCTCTGCTCTGCTCTCGGATGTTAAGGAGGAATAGACTTTCTGGGAATCAAAAAAAAGGACGAAACCGTGCATCTGATGGTTTGTATTAGAACCATTGCACAGGAGAAAATAATATGCAAGTAACTAGTACAAAACCTACTAGTTTGGAACAAGTGACATCTAATAATAAGGAGTTAAGCGTGAATTTTTCATTGTAAAAAAAGGAAGTTCCGATAATCCATTTCATAAATCCAAGTAACTTTCTTCGATGTGTATCTTATGGGTCCTCATCAGAGACAATTAACCCGCAAGAATAATTATTACTCTGCTCGAAGTACAAAGAGTGATCGCCTCGTTCTAAGGAACACCACGTGGCCGCTCACTCCGGCAAAAATCAATCAATCAACCAATGAATTAACAAAACACAAGAATGGGGCCTCTGATCAAGGCTGAAAATTGGAACGTTTTCCTTCCAAGAAACATTTAAGGACAACGGGGGTCAAAAGATCTTCTAAGGAAAAACCACATGGTAAAATTTACTCTGTAGGGTTTTGCGTTGGAGAATTAATCCATAACCACTGAAAGCAGGATTTCAATCAACAGTATTTCGGTTCAAATTTTCAATGCGAAAATTCAGTTTAAAATAGGGCCTCAAAAACCCAAGCAAAAAATACATCATCATAGAAAGATTTCTACAGGAAGAAATACTAAAATGAGTAAGGCTGCTCAGGGAGGAAATAAGGCAAAGAAGGCAGGATGAGGGCACATGCATAATTCACACAAAGGACAGAGAAGTCTTCTGAAATATGGGAGGGAGGCGATATTAGATAAAATTGAGGAAGAAATTTAAGGTTTAGACCACACACAAGCTACCTCTGCAACTCACTGCTACCGGATGCTAACGAGGGATAGACTTTCTGGGAAACTGAAAAAAACGTCGAGACGTGTATCTGATAACTTGCATTAGAACCATTGCACAGGAAAATATAAAATACAGGTAACTGGTACACAACCTACCGGCTGGGAACAAGTGAGGTCTAATAATAAGGAATTAAGATTGACACTTTCTTTGTAAAAAAAAATAAGCTCCAATAACCCATTACATAAATACAAGCAACTTTCTTCAAAGTGTGTATTATGGGTCCTCATCAGAGAAAATGAACCCGCAAGAATAATTACTCTGCTCGAGGTACAAAGAGTGATCGCCTTTCTAAGAAACATCACGTGGCCACTCACTCCGGCAACAAACAATCAATCAATCAACAAAACACAAGAATGGGGCCTCTGATCAAGGCTGAAAATTGGAAAGGCTTCCTCCAAGAAACATTTAAGGACAACGGGGGTCAAAAGATCTTCTAAGGAAAGACCACATGGTAAAATTTACTCTGCAGGGTTTTGCGTTGGAGCATTAATCTGCAAACATACAACGGAAATCACATGCAAATGATCAATGCAACCACTGAGCAAAACGCGGGAGAAGCCGCTCCACGTGAGGCGCGCTCCGGGAGAGGGGAAGCAATCTGGGAGCCGTGCAAGGAAAGAGGCGAATAAAGACATCTCACCATTGCGCTGCCATCCGGGCCGGCGCCGCCGCCTCCCGTCTTCTTGTCCGCACTGCCGGCGGCGGCGGCGGGCGGGCAGCCGGGGCTGAACACCATGAGGTCGGCCTTGCCCGCCGCCTCGCCGACTCCCAGCTGGCGGCTGTGGCGCTGCGAGTACGACCAGCTGCCCACCTCGCTGGCGCACACCAGCGCCGCCTGGCCCGG